AAAGGACTAAAACTAGGTAAGATTCCTTTAACAGAGACTAAAAGGAAACATAACTGAATAAAAGATACATGAGGTACTCAGAAGTGAAATGATGACATAATGTTTGAGACAAAGTTTGTTCTTATTACATGTAGTCTTTCCATTTTTACAACTTTCCATTTTGTACAACACCTCAAAAATTTCCTCAGGCACATAGGTTTCCTGTTACATATGTCTTCTTTCTTCTCATTTTAAGAACTTATGCATAGTTGTGCAGAGCTTACAAATGCCAAAACCAGACTTACTTTCATTTGCATTACGAATAAGATTTAAGAGTAGTATCATTGCTTCAGATTGGTGATGTAGTGTTAGAGGAGAGCAGAAGAGAAACATGATATACTCTACTCTATCAGAAAGAAATGTTTGAGTACAAAGAGAAAGCTTGGTTAGAGAAATTTAGAATCAAACATCATAAACAGGCTGGATACAGTGGCTCACACCTGTAATCCCAGTACTTTGGGAGTCTGAGGCCAGCAGATCACCTGAGGTCAGGAATTTTAGATCATCCTGGCCAACATGGTAAAAGTACCTATCTCTGCTAAAAGTACAAAAATCAACCGGGCGTAGTGGTGCATACCTGTAATCCCAACTACTTGGGAGGCTGAGGCAGGAGAATGGCTTGAACGTGGGAGTTGAAGGTTGCAGTGAGCCGAGATCACGCAGCTGCACTCCAGCCTAGGCAACAGAGTGAGAATCTGTCTTTAAAAAAAAAAAAAAAAAAAAAAAAACTATCATAAATAAAATAAAAATAAAATCTTGAAGAATATATTTGTACCATGTGTGTCACAGGGATAATTATCCTTACACTATCAATTTTTAACAGATAAGAAACAAGTTAACTCTCCATTAGAAAACTGGACAAGATGTGATAAGAGTGTTCAAAAGATAAGCAAATGAAATAAGCATTTAAAAATGTTTGATTTCCCTAGTAATGATAAACAAAATGATGTTTTACCTGTCACTTTGGCAGCCTTTTGTTTAAAAGGAAAACCCATGATGGAGGGAGTTCTGCTAAATGCCTGCTTTTATTGTACTACAATTGGAGTGTAAATTGGCACAAGCCTTTCGGAAAAAGCACACCTTTGACCCGCTAAATCCTTTTCAAAGAATTTACCCTGAGTGTAATTAGAGATGGAAATAAAGCCTTATATATCAGAATGCTTATTATAATATTATTTAGTAATAACAGCAAAAATTTAAAAGTATCTTAAAACATCTTAACAGGAAATGGCTAACGAAGTATGATTTATCCATATTATGTAATATTACATAACCATTGAAATCATATTTAAAGATAATGACATAGGGAAATGCTCACTATCAATGAAAAAAGTAAAATAGGAAACTGTACATATATTGCCTCAGACTTGTAAACATGTTTGGAGCTATTTTAAATAGTTTTGCTTTGAACATTCTTATACATGTGTTTTGGTAAGCACATAATGCCTTTCTGTTGGGGAAATACCTGGGAAAGTAATTGTTGGGTTATATGGATATACATTTGTCCAGCCTTAGTAGGTATTGCCAAATAGTTTTTCAAAGTAGTTTTACCAATTTGCCCATTTCCAATATATATACTCCCGTTGCTACATGTCATTGTCTATGCTTGACGTGTCTGTTTTGATTTTTCATTTTAGCCATTCTGGTGGATGGTAGAGATACTTATGGTTTTAATTTGCATTTCCCTGACAAGTAATTAACTTTAATACTTTTTTATATGTTTATTGATTATTTGACTATCTTCTTTGGTAAAATGCTTTGAAGAGGAACATTTTCAATTAATAGAAGAAAAACATTTTTCTAACAACATTACAAACAACTATGATGCTATTCTAAGGACTATACTTTGAGTAGTGAAGTTTTATTGTAGAGGAGCAAAGTAAAATGATATTTGAAAGAACTTGCAGAATTTGTTCTATAGCTTTTGGCAATCTTAGAGTATTTAAGGTAAGTAGGAGACATCCCAAAAAAAAAGATAGTGAAGAGATTTTAGTAACTTAAAGTTTTTGTTATATAAATGTCTGATATATTCAATAGTGGAAGAGTGGTAAAAATAAACCCTGTAAGTATTTGTTTATCCAGCTTTCATAACTGTCAACTGAAAATTTACCAATTCTGTTTCTTCTGTGCTCCACTTACACTCCCCTCTCTTCACCCCATTGCATTAACTCATTTTTCTTTAGTTTACAAACTAGAGATTGCAGAGGGTAATACCAATCCTAATATAAACAGAACTCTTTTTTTAATGTGGCATGCTTCTGGGAATGACATTTAAGGAAATAGGACAAAAGGTTAAATGAAGACATCCATAATTGTTGATACTTGTGAAAAACAGTTTAAAGCAAATAAAAAATCTAAAAAGTAAATAGCAAGGTAAATAATTTATCAATCTAATGGAATATTATACACCCATTTTTTATTATTGCTATAAAGCCCATGTGGTGACATGGAAAGAAATATTTTAATATAAGCTTTTTTAAAACCTACCATTTTACATGTGCTTACATATATTAATGAATTCTGCTTGCATTTTTAAAGTCCTTGCTTTAGTTAAAACGTATGTAATCAAGAGTAAGGAAGTTATAGCTTGTCTTTGAAAGTTAGAATAACAGACTCATTTTTCACTATAATACCAATTTAAGAATCCTTTTATTTAATTTGAAATCTTAAGTTCAGCCATTCTTTGTACATTTCACTAGTGCTACTTGATTTTAGGAGACTCTCTGGGTGGTATGGTATAGCAGATATTTATCTTCAGACATTTTCTTTTTTGTCTTTGTTTCTTAGAGACAGGATCTCACAGTGTCATCGACACTGGAGTACAGTGATATGATCATAGCTCACTGCAGCCTGGAACCCTTGGGCTCCAGCAGTCCTCCTGCCTGAATCTCCCAAATGGCTAGAACTACAGACATGGCACCACCAGGCCCAGCTAATTTTCTTTTTTTTTTTCCACAAAGTGTCTCTTCGTGTTGCCCAAGCTGTTCTCAAACTCCTGGTCTAAAAGTGATCCTTCTGCCTCACCTTCCCAAAGTGCTGAGATTATAGGCATGAGACACCATGCCCAGCTTCAAACATTTTTTTTTAACCTTAAAAAAATATATTTCCAGCTGGGCGAAGTGACTCATGCCTGTAATCTCTGCACCTTGGGAGGCCGAGGTGGGTGGATCATATGAGCTCAGGAGTTCAATACCAGCACGGCCAACATGGTGAAACGAGTCTCCACTAAAAACAGAAAAATTAGGCCAGGCGCAATGGCTCACACCTGTAATCTCAGCACTTTGGGAGGCCAAGACAGGCAGATTACCTGAAGTCAGGAGTTCGAGACCAGCCTGACCAACATGGAGAAACCCCTGTCTCTACTAAAAATACAAAAAAAATTAGCCGGGCATAATGGCACATGCCTGTAATCCCAGCTACTTGGGAGGCTGAGACAGGAAAATCGCTTGAACCTGGTATGCAGAGGTTGCAGTGAGCCAAGATCGCGCCATTGCACTGCAGCCTGGGCAACAGGAGCTAAACTCCGTCTTAAAAAGAAAAAAGGAAAAATTAGCCAGGCGTGGTGGTGGGTACCTGTAGTCCCAGCTACTCAGGTGGCTGAGACACAAGAATTGAATCGCTTAAACCTAGGAGGTGGAGGTTGCAGTGAGCTGAGATCGTGTGACTGCACTCCAGCCTGGGCAACAGAGGGAGACTGTCTCAAAAAAACAAAAAAAAAATTCCAGCTGGGTGTGGTGGCTCATACCTGTAATCCCAGTACTTTGGGAGGCTGAGATGGGAGTATTGCTTGAGGCCAGGAGTTTGAGACCATGCTGGGAAACATAGTGAGACCTATCTTTAAAAAAAAAAAAAAAAGAAAAAATTTAGCAGGGCCTGGTAGCACATACCTGTAGTCCCAGCCACTCTGGGCTAAGATGGGAGAATCACAGAAGCCCAGGAGAGGAGGTCAGGGCTGCAGTGAGCTATGTTCATACCAGTGCACTGCTACCTGGGCAACAGAGTGAGGCCCTGTCCCTTTAATTAAAAAAAAAAAAAAGTTAAAATGAAAATTTAGGTTTCCCTGTCTCATTGAATGTTTTATTTTTTAGAAATATAAGTATTAGTCTTTTTTTAAATTCAAGGGAGATATTTATTGAGAGAACTTGAGATTACATTTAAGTGGATGAGAAGAGTGCCTATTTACTAATAAATAAAGTTGTGAAATGGGGTCACTTTTAAGGAAGGGCCAGACAATTTTTGGCTGGGTTGTTTTCCTTGTCTTTTTTATGTTTTGCAAAACAGCCACTGTCAATTTTATCAAAGCAGAGTTTCTGAGAAATATTAGTTGGTTTTAAAATGCAATGTCACAATTGGTACATTCCCTTCCAGCTGACTCTTTTGAGACATCTGAATTTATGACTTCTAAAGTGCTTCATCTGTATGATCTCAGAAACATGGACTTTCATTTTCAGAAACAGGAGTGGAGCTGGACTATAAATAACATCGTCTATTTATTTTTAATTACAAAGACATCCCTTCATTAAAATGAGCATCTGTTTCCTTAAATACAGTTTGTCGCCTTTGCCAGTTATTGCTGTTTCAAAAACTGAATTAGATAGTGCCAACAATATTTTCTCATTGGGTTGTATATCTACATTTAGACTAATTCAGGATCACTTTGCCTTTGTTGTCATATTCTACTTGCTATTTATAATAGAGACTTGTTCATAAGCTGTGTTGTACAAAAATAAGGCATTGTCCATAATTACAGGTGTTTTCCCTTGCTAATATATATTTATTTGAAAAAATTAAACTTTTCAAAGAAAAGAAAAAATGCTTTTAAAAAATTACTTTGTTATATATGGCTTATATCTCAACATTTTATGTCACCCTCTTTTATTTTGATTATTTGCTTTGATCAGCTTTTTAAACTCATGACACTGTGTTTTCTTTATTTGTCTTCCATTGTCCTGCAATTTCAGAGCATGTAACTTCTAATGCCAGCGATAGTGAAAGTAGTTACCGTAAGTGTCTTAAGTTGCTTGTTCTTTTATAATTTCAAGTAATAAATTCTCTGCAGGGGTGGAGGGATTCTTAGTTCTAAAAACCTAAAGTTAATATGATTGATATTAAAATCAGGGAAAGCCAAGTAAAATTTTGTGCTATGTAGAGGTTAATTTATAAAATTTTAATAAAATACTAAAAATAGTATTATTTGTGTACATAGTACATATATGTGTGTGTATATGTATTTTTTATAAGAAGTAAATACTTACATGGGGGAAAATTTGTATTTTGACATTTTGTTCAGTTCTGTTTTTAACGTGAGTGCTAAAAGAATATTTTTCAGTAATGCTAAATTATAATTAGCTTTATTTCTGTTTTCATTCTTTTTCACCAATACTGATCTGAATCAAGTCATTGTTTATCACCAGCACTTGGTGAACAGAAGAAATAAGAAAGGAAACATTTTCAATGTTTGCTCAAAAAATAATGCTAATTTCTCTTTTGATGTTTTATATTACATTCTTGGTTTTATTAAGTGAACTACACAAGCATGTGATGTTTTTAAACAGATTTGGGTATGGGAGAAGGGGAGAGTACATAATGTTATCATTTGTAGCACCTTAAAAATTAAAATTGCTTTTCTAACTTTTTTTTTTTTTACTGCTGTCTAAATGAAAGTAATCTTGATTACAGATGAGTATGGCTGCTCAAAAGGTCCATCCTGTTAATATCAGTCCCTAATACCTTTTCATGTTAACAGTATATACTTTTAACCGTCATTCATTTGGTTGATTATTTTTCTACATAATAGTTACTTGACTTTTTTTTTTTGGTGTGGAAATGATTTCTTGTATTTCAGCATTTTATTGCTTATAACCAGAATCCACTATAGAGTAATTGAGTGGCTTTCTAGGCTAAAAAGAGGTAATGAAAGTATATACTGTCTGTCTCATCATTTGCATGAATTATTAAGGTGTGAAATATTCAAATTGCATGTGTTTGCTAGTATGTAAGCCATGTTTTACATCCAGTACTTTAAAAAACAGCTTATATTGGTTTTATATACTTTGATAATAAAATTGAAGACAAAGAAATACACACTTAAAGCGGAAAAGAGTGTTTATGCCAATATATGGATTTAAAAGACCTGCAGCTACATACATATAATATAAAACAATTGCAAAATTCATGGTAAAATTATTATAGGATCTTGATAATTAAAGAAAAAGTCTTCAAATACATTATCCAATATTGATTGTTTTCGTTGAACCACTTGGGTTAACAGTCTTTTCTAATTTTGGGCGTGGGGACAAGGGGGATATGTATTAGTTAAAAACTGCTAGAATTTTTAATTTTGTAGTTCTTTTCATTGGATTCAGATATAATTTGTAGACTCTTTCATTTAGAATATTTCCTAAGCTCTGAACCTTTAATTTAACCTTTAATTTAGAAGCTTTAACTTCTTGTATGCTTTTAAGTTCACAGCAGAATGTATTATCTCCTTTACTATCACTGTGGTTTTTTTATTGGAAGGATTTAGTTTTATCTAAAGCTCTTTTTGATTCACATTAAATTTCTTATTTTTTACAAAGTTTAATTCGTGAATTTTTTCATCAGTGAAATAGTGACAATAGTTTTGCCTTTGTGTTTATAATTTTAAATTTTAAGATAGTTGTAATTTTTTTTAAAATATACTGTTTTCAGTATTATAGTTGGTGGAAAAAGTAGCATATTTTTAATAGTAACAAATTACCTAATATGTATATCTGTAGATAGAACTGCTCATTAAAGCATTAATCTTTAACAGATTTAATAATTCTTAAATTCTAAATAAAGAAGTAGCACATAGCATCACATGAAGATTTTAGATTTAATGATTATTTATAAAATAAGTTTTTGATTTAAAAGCTCATTTATATTTTGTTTTACATTTAGCAAACTCACTTTTATGACTTTATAATTTGCCACTTTTATTTATTTATTTTTACTAAATCTTGCCATAAAGTACCTCTTCCCATATCTTTGCCATTTTCTTAGGAAAGTTCTAGTAATGTATATGTTGTTTATGAAGAATTAGAATTCGAGTAACATCAGTTATCTTGACGTATTTTTCATCTGTGCCTTAATTTTCTAATAGGTGGTCAAGAAGAATACGTCTTATCTTATGAACCAGTGAATCAGCAAGAAGGTTTGTGAAACCTATTGATGTTTTATAATCTTCTAGAAGAATGTATTTTTAATTTGAGGGAAAAAAGTCTAATACCCCCAAAAAATGTTATATGTAGAAATTTACTACATGTATTTTATGAAACATAGTTTATTCCATAGTATATTAGAATCTCGTCACTTCATATTGACTTTTATATTTGTGTTTTATTTCCTAAGCAACTTTTTTCAAGTGTTCTTGTTAACATTGCTATCTTCCAAATAACCCTTTTTTGAAATTCTTGGGAGCGTCTTTGACCCTTCTCTGTTCCTCATGCTCCTCAGCTAATCAGGTTCCAGGCACTATTGCACTTCTTTCTTATTTATGACCTTCTCTTCGTCCCTTCTACCACAATGTTAGTTCTCAGTCTCATTACCCATTTCCATTCTTCCAGCACGATCTTATACGACCTAGAGTTTACGCTTCTTTAGATCATCTTTCTAAAACACTACTGTGATTATATCACTTCCTACATCTAATTTCTCTTCTGCCCTTCTTTGCTCTGCTTCCTTACAATTTCTACTTCAAAACCGTCTGTAAAACACTATATGTTATTCTGTCATTTGCAATGTAAATAAACATAATCTGCTAAAATACCAAATTTAACTTCGTTTAATTATCAAGTATATGACTTCTAGCAGGAGACTGAGTAAACTTTAAGATCTTAGTCAAGATTATAAAACGGCAAATTAGGCATCTTTGATTGATGGAAGAGGAAGATAGAAAAGGAAGAAAAAAATTCTTTGTAACGGTTACGGATATTTTTGTTCTCTGGTGAAATAAAATATATTGATATTTGTTGAATGTTTATTCCTTTTAACATGCAGTTTATCTTTATAGTTAATTATACTCGACCAGTGATCATATTGGGACCTATGAAAGACAGGATAAATGATGACTTGATCTCAGAATTTCCTGATAAATTTGGATCTTGTGTTCCTCGTGAGTAACCCAAACAAAAACATTTAATTGTTATTCTTAACATTTCCTGTCACTGTGTGTGGGAAAAATAAATATAACCTTTTTTTAATGGTTCATACTGATTTTATCAGTTACTCTTCCATCCTCCATGTTATTGTCCTTTCTCAGATTTAAATTAATCTGTTGAACTTTACAAAACAATGATGTAAGTGGAAAATGGATTTATTCTGGGGTTTTTTTTTTTAATATTAAACACTTCCCCAAGTTTTTTTCTGTTAAAGATACAACTAGACCAAAACGAGATTATGAGGTAGATGGAAGAGATTATCATTTTGTGACTTCAAGAGAGCAGATGGAAAAAGATATCCAAGAACATAAATTCATTGAAGCTGGTCAGTATAACAATCATCTATATGGAACAAGTGTTCAGTCTGTGCGAGAAGTAGCCGAAAAGGTAAGCATCAAACTAACCCCAGAATATAGCTTCTAATCAAATATGCCTCTGACAGTCTGAAAGAGTGGTAGGATAGATACAGCACTGATCAGTTTTATTAATGTAATGAATTTGCTTATCTAAATATTTTATTTTACATGGCCTAGGAAAGTGCATAGAAGATAAAATAGGTAGACAAAGAAAGTGAGAGGAGAAGTTATCATTATAAGGTCATTTGCTAGAGATAGACCAATAAAGAAAGGAAGGAAGGGGAAAAAAAAGGAAGGAAGGAAATGAAGGAAAGAAAGAGAGAAAGAGAGAGGGGGAGAGAGAGAGAAGAAAGAAAGAGGGAGGAGGGAGAAATACGAAGACATTTTCTTGGTGAGGCTGAGAGGAAACAGTCGTGCATTATTGGTGGAGATGCAAACTGGTGCTGCCTTTTGGAAGGGTATTTGGCAATATCCAGCAGCTATCCTTCAACCCAGCATATCCACTTCTAGGAATTTATTCCAAAGATACCCCCAACAGTATGAAAATACATGGGCAAAAGGGCATTCATTGTAGCATTGTTTATAATTGTGAAATACTGAAAACCATCTAAATGCCCAGATAAAAGAGTGATTGAACAATTAATTTTACATTCACAAAATGAAGTTCTCTAAAACTTAATAAAGAAGGTATCTGAACTGATACCTCACATGCAAAAGAGTATGGTATAAAATAAGAGAAAATGGGAAAATATGTATCTCTACTCAGTTGTGTGAAAATAAACACAGGAAAGGTAAATCAGAACTTGACGAGATTGGTTACCTACAGAGGGAGGGAAGTAGAAAGGATGGGGAATGTGGAATACATTGGAAAGGATGAGGTACGACATTTCTCTGAGCATACGTATTTGAATTATTTTAATTTTTACAAAGTATGTTAATATTTTACATATTTTTGAAACTCAAAAATAAAATCAAAGAAAGATAGGGGAAAGCAAAATGATATACAAATAGAAACTAAATAAACCTGACTATATTTCAGATATAACTATATTTCAGAATAACTTAACTGCATTGAGGAGAGAATTCCTAATCCCAGAGATTCTTTAACACAAGCTGTAAACAGAAAGATCTGTAAACAAAATCAAACTCTAATTAGTAGGTTTGTTGTGTGCAGTGTATGGGCCTGTAGTTCTGAAACTAATATATATTCTAGAGTTGATCAGGTAAACTAATATAATGACAGTAGTGAAAGGGAGGCTTGCCTGTCAGAAAAGGGAGAAGGTAAAATGAACTCTGATAATTGGATTGGAGATCCCAGACGATTAGAGCTATGACTATGAACCCATGAATTGTAATAGAGTAGATATAGAAATAGATGTGTATTTATATATACAGATATATATGTTTATTTGCTCTAACCACTGAGAAGACCTAAAAGTAACACTGAATAAGCAATGAGAATATCTATTGCCCAGATGTTGGCTTCTAAATATAATTCTTTATTTAAAAGATCCAGGACTCTTTAGATGAACGGCTGATTCTGGGGCCAGGACTGGAAAAGTTCAAGATGATCCTGTAAGAACATTTTGCTTCCTGAAAAATAAGGAAGCACTCAAAGAATGATGAGGATATATAAAAAGACACAGGAACCAAGCTGTAGAGTTCCCCACTGGCCAAGTCTGAGATAATTTGAATATCAAAATAAGTGATAATAACAGATTATAATACATAGAGTAAAATAAAAATCCTAGAGTCCATAATGACATAAACACAGATGGCCCCCAACTTAGCATGGTTCAACTTTACAGTGGTGTAAAAATGATGCATATTCAGTAGCAGCCATATTTGAAGTACCCATACAACCATTCTGTTTTTCACTTGTAGTACAGTATTCAGTGAATTACATGAAAAATTCAACACTTAATTATAAATTATAATTCTGTTTTGTCCAACTGTAGGATAAGTGTTCTGAGCATGATTAAGGTAATCTAGGCTAAGCTATGTTGTTCAGTAGGTTAGGTATATTAAACACATTTTCAGTTTACAGTACTTTAAACAAGTGATGGGTATTTTGGGATGAAACTCCCATTGTAAGTCAAAGAGCATCTGTATGTGAGTAAATAAGTGGATAGAAGGGAACTATCCTTCTATCTGTGTACTAATCAAGGTAGAAGAAATGATTACATTAGAAAATCTTTTGAAAACCACATGGTAATAATTGCTTCAGGCAAAAACCATCAATGTATTCTAAAATTAGTGAAAATTTGATGAAAAAGGGGGTATTTATATAGTGTCAAAGTGTCCGCCCCCAAAATACCAGTTACAAAGGCAAAAATAATAATTTTGATAATTTTACAGTGGAGATACCTACCAGATAAAACCTTAAATAAGTGATCAAAATTAGCATCACTAATAGTGGGACAAATAGACATAATATTGCCTCCCAGATAAGACTGAGAAGGACACAACTTTATGTCTGTGGTATTCCTGTCAAAGATATGTAACCTACCATCCGAGAGTGAGGAAACATACAAACCCAGGTTGAGGCATATTCTATGACATCAATGTTTTTTACTCTTCAAAAATATCAAGATCAAGAAAGACAGGAACTGTGCCAGATTGACAGAGACTAAGGAGACTTTACAACTAAATATAATGTGTGACCCTGTGATCCTGAATTGGATCCTGGACCAGGAAATTTTTTTATTCTTTTCCAATAAGGAATATTAGATGGCCAGTTGGAATCAAATCATGATTATATAAGAGATGCCGTTGTTTTTAAGAGATATGAGGTAAAGAAACATTATGCAATTGATTCTCAAACTATTATGTACATATATGTAAAGAGATAAAGCAAACATGGTAGAATATTAATATTTCAGTATGAACTTACTAAACTTTTTAAGCAATCATGTAAAATATATCTGGTAAAAGTAGACAGTGGGTTTATGGTGTCTATTATTTACTTTATGTTTGGAGTATTTTACAGTATTAAATTTTTTATTGTAAATGTGCCCATCAAATTGAAATTATCATGTATTGACTTGGACTCAAGTACTTAGGTTAGAAGTTGCATTATGGGGCCCAGCACAGTGGCTCACACCTGTAATACCAGCATTTTGGGAGGCCAAAGTGGGCAGATCACCTGAGGTCGGGAATTCAAAACCAGCCTGACCAACACGGGGAAATGCTGTGTCTACTAAAAATACAAAATTAGCCAGGTCTGGTGGTGCATGCTACTTGACAGGCTGAGGCAGAAGAATCACTTGAACCCAGGAGACAGAGGTTGTGGTGAGCCAAGATCACGCCATTGCACTCCAGCCTGGGCAGTAAGAGTGAAACTCCATCTAAAAAAAAAAAAAAAATCCAGCACTTTGGGAGGCCGAGGTGGGTGGATCACCAAAGGTCAGGAATTTGAGACCAGCCTGACCCATATGGTGAAACCCTCTGTGTACAAAAAACACAGAAGTTGGCCAGGCGTGGTGGTGCGCACCTGTTACCTCAGCTACTAGGAAGGCTAAAGCAAAAGAATCACTCAAACCCAAGAGACGGAGGTTTAAGTAAGCCAAGATCACGCCATTGGCATTCAAGTCTGGGTGACATAGCAAGACTCCGTCTCAAAAACAAACAAAAAACTGAAGTTGCGTTATGGGGGAGGGCCTGATTTCAAATGTATTATAAGAAAAATGTTATAAATAATAAGTACTTCTCTGCTTAACATGGAAATGCTCAATCTGTATTAAAAACCTAAGTAGCCTTTTTCAGTAAATTTAACCTTGCCACTTAAATCCAGAATTGGGTCCCCATATGCTAGTTTATGATAATTTTTATCAGTCCCTAATAAAATGAGAAATAGAAGGATTGAGTAGTAGTGATGAGGTTTCACAAATTCATTTATTTAAAATATTTGCCCTTACTCTAGGAATTTTTATCTTTTATGAAATGATAGCTATGGGGAGTTGATAGTTTGGAGTCTTTATAAATGCCTTTTCTCGGCCGGGCGCGGTGGCTCAAGCCTGTAATCCCAGCACTTTCGGAGGCCGAGGCGGGTGGATCACGAGGTCAAGAGATCGAGACCATCCTGGTCAACATGGTGAAACCCCGTCTNCGTGCCTGTAATCCCAGCTACTCAGGAGGCTGAGGCAGGAGAATTGCCTGAACCCGGAGGCGGAGGTTGCGGTGAGCCGAGATCACGCCATTGCACTCCAGCCTGGGTAACAAGAGTGAAACTCCATCTCAAAAAAATAAAATAAAATAAAATAAAATAAAAATAAATGCCTTTTCTTGGCAAAATGAACAATAGGAACCTGGGCCTGGCACAGTGGCTCATACCTATAATCCCAGCACTTTGGGAGGCTAGGGTGGGAGGATTGTTTGAGCCCCAGGAGTTCAAGACCAACCAGCCTAGGCAACAGAGCAAGACCCTGTCTCAAATCTTAAGAAAAGGGAGGGGGGATCTCTGTTGTTCACCATTTTGAGAGATTACTGATCTATGAAAACTAGGAACTGTATTTTCTTTCCTTTTTAAATATAACATTTGTTTGAAAATGGCAAATTAATTATGCCTAATCAACCATTTCATTTACTATCTAAAGTTTGCTGAGAGAAATGACAAGTTTGCTTAAAGTGAACAAGGATCCAAACATATCATAATTTAGACTTTGTACGTGTAGGAAATGTACTTTTGATATTATTGAGAATATTTGGTTCACTTTTTTTTTTTTCTTTATTCCCTTTATTTTAGAGCAAACACTGTATCCTTGATGTGTCTGGAAATGCCATAAAGAGATTACAGATTGCACAACTTTACCCCATCTCCATTTTTATTAAACCTAAATCCATGGAAAATATCATGTAAGTGTAAATGCCTAAGGCATAGCCTCTGAGTACAAATTCAGTCACTGGAGGGTTTTTTACTCTCCCTGCATCTCATTTATCTATAAAATTGAAATAATAATGTGTATATTCACCTCAGATTGTGTGCTAAGGATTGAATAAGCACTCTAGGTTATAAATTGTCATTGTAATCATCATCATTAATATTACTAAAGTATAAGGTAACATGTATTAGAATAGCCCCATGTGGCTAGTGGCTACTGAAGTATGCAACACAGCTCTCAGGTAACCATTAAGAGAATAAAAGAATATATAACCATTACCTAATACTTTAGGGGGACAAAAAAATAGAATCTAAGTAAAAATTAAGAAAGAGCAAATAGAAACATAGAACAGGTGAGGCAATACCATATAAATAGTAAGATGGTTTAACCTAAGGCAAATATGAGACCACTAGACTAAATGTTGCAATTAAAAGACAACGATTGTCAGAATGGATGAAGAAAAAAGTAAATTATATGTTGCTTTCATCAGACACACCTTCCTGTGGGAAGGTCGAAAGTAAGAGAATAGAAAAAGATATACCATGCTAACATTAACCAAAACAAGGCTGATTATTATATTATCGTCAAAGTATACTTTAAGGCAAGAAGTATTACTGGAGATAAAGAGTGACATTTCATAAAAGTAAAAGATTCACTCCAACAGGAAGATCTGTTTATACGTTTGTTTGCACTTAATAGCATTCTCAAAATATATAAAGTACAAATTGACAGCTGCATAGGGACAAAAAGGTAATTCCAAAATTATCGATGGGAACCTAACACATCTGTCAGGAAGCAATTAAGTAAGAAAACAAAAAATCAGTGAAGATACAGAATAACACAAATTGTAAAACTTTACCTATTTGACATATGTTAAATACTCCTTTACCTAATTGACGTGTTAAATACTGCACCCAACATCTGCAAAATGCATATCAATTTCAATTATACATGAAACAATTCCAAAACTGATCATTTGCTGGATTATAAATTTCAAATGATAGAAAACAAATATTCTCTGACAATAATGAAATTTAAATGGAAACCAATAATTAAAAGATAACTAGAAAATTCTCATATATTTGGAAATTAAGCATTATTCTTCTGAGTGAGTCAAAGAAGAAATCACAGAATAAATAAATTGATGTTTTGATCTAAATAGTAATGAATTGCCCAGTGATGAGTTTGGAGGCTGTTGTGGCTTTGTTGAAGGAATATACGTAGCTTTAAATGTTAGGAAAGAATGTTGAAAATCAAATATTAGGAAAGTTGAAAGTCTAAGATTTTGACAAATTAGAAAAATATCAGTCAGTTAAACTCAAAAAAGATAGACGGCGGGGCACAGTGGCTGGCGACTATAATCCCAGCACTTCAGGAGGCCTCGGTGGGCAGATTGCTTAAGTTCAGGAGTTCAAGACCAGCCTGGGCAACATGGTGAGACCCTGTCTCTACTCAAAATACAAAAAAATAGCTGGGCATGGTGGTGTGCACTCAGACAATAACTGCACTGACCGTCTGTCTGATGTTACTATTTTGGAAATCTGTTCACCATTTTGATCGGTTTGGGAACTCTAAAGTCTATTGAAGGCTTATAACTTCCAGGGGAAGGTTTGAAAAGTTAATTTCAGCTCTTAATATGTTAGCAACTACCTATTTCTCTACCCTCAGCCCCATAGCATGCAGCCATGCACACATTTTTCAAGCAGCTTGCATAGGGTTTGTGGGAGCCAGTGTGGACAATAAGGATTCTGCCCTGCAGATATCAGGGATCTTTGCTCTGATAGCTAATTACTGCTTCTGATCATAGAGGTGCAACCATACAGCCTATGGTAAGCCATTATTGCAAACCCCACTGCCATTGTTACAAGCCGCCCTCCACTTGAGGCTGAAGTGACTTTTAAAGATTTAAAGGGCCATTGCCTTCATTGGTGATTAGTGAGGAGAAGAAAAAAATATTAAATAAAAACAAAGAGCTAGTGCCTCCCCCCTCCTCCCCCACCACACAAACACACTCCTTTCCCCCTCCCCCAGCCGACCCCCCACTTTGGGAGCCAGGTCAGGACATTCAAAAGTAACCACATATACAAGGAGATGTTTTCACATCCATGAAAATTTACAGGCTTAGAAAATACCTGTAAAGACCTTAAGTTTACACCTCAGGCCGATCCCTGGTATAGAAACACCTTTCAACAATAAACAATAAAATTCATTTTAAATAAAACAGCAAATCCTGGGAAAGGAGAATTTGATCTCCAGAGTTACCACATTGTAAAATTCAATGTGCAGTTTCCAACAAAAAAAAATCACAAGGCATATAAAGAAACAGGAAAATATAGCCCATTCAAAGGAAAAATAAACTATCCCTGATAAAGAGTTAGACTTACTAAATAATGTAAAACAAGATGCTAAATGAGCTGAAAAACATGGACAAACTTTCAAGAAAATGATAGGCCTTACACAGTGGCTCATGCCTGTAATCATGCCATAATCACTTGGAAGGCAGAGGCGAGAGGATCACTTGAACTCAGGGATTCCAGACTAGCCTGGGCAACATTGTGAGAGAGCTTGCCTCTAAAGTAAACAAAAGTTGGCTGGGCACACTGGCTCTTGCCTGTAATCCCAGCACTTTGGGAGGCCAAGGCAGCCTGGGCAACATGGTGAAACCCCATCTCTACTAAAAGTACAAATATTAGTCGGGCGTGGTGGTGGGCACCTGTAATCCCAGCTACATGGGAGCCTGCGGCATGAGAGTCGCTTGAACCCGGGAGGCAGACGTTGCAGTGAGCCGAGATCATACCACTACACCCCAGCCTGAGTAACAACAGCAAAACTAAAGTAAACAAAAATTAGCTGGGCATAGTGGCAAATACCTGTAGTCCCAGCTACATTTGAAACTGAGGTGGAAGGATCTCTTGAGCCTGGGAGGTCAAGGCGGCAGTGAGCCAAGATCACACCACTGCATTCCAGCTTCAGCAACAGAAGGAGACCTTGTCTCCAAAAAGATAGAGGAAAAAAAAGGATGAAAAAGATACATGAACAGAATGGAAATATCAACAAAGAAATCTAAAAAGAAACCAAAAGGAAATTCTGGAGCTGAAAATAACTGAAGTGGAAAATTCACTAGAGGGATTCAGGCAGATTTGAGCAGACAGAAGAAAGAATCAACAAATTTAACTTAAAGATAAAACAATGATAATTATTTAGTCTGAGAAACAGAGAAATGATTGAAGAAAAGTGAACAGAACCTAAGGGACCTGTGAGACACCATCAGGTAATCAGCATACACATTGTGGGGGTCCTAGAAGGAGAATAGACAGAGAAAAGCAGAGAGATTTTTTGAAGAAATAATGGCCAGAAACATCCTAAATGTGATGAAAGACACAAATGTAAACATTCAAGAAAATCAATGAACTCCAAGCAGGATAAACTTAGATACCCACACTGAGGCACATTATAATCAAACTGTCAGAATACAGAGAGAATCTTGAAAGCAGCAACTTACCACATACAAGGAATTTGCCAATAAGATTATCAGATTTGTTTTTTTTGTTTGTTTTTTGAGACAAAGTCTCGCTTTGTCACCCAGGCTGGAGTGCAGTGGCTTACTGCTTACACAGGTTACTGCTGCCTTAACTTCCTAGGCTCAAGCAGCCTCTCACCTCAGCCTCCCAAGTAGCTGGGGCTACAGATATGCACCACCACACCTGGCTAATTTTTGTATTTTTTTATAGAGACAGGGTTTTGCCATGTTTCCCAGGCTAGTGTCAAACTCCTGAGCTCAAGTTTTCCACCTACCTCAGCCTTCCAAAGTTCTGGGATTACGGGTGTGAGTACAGTACCCACCATGCCCAGCTGTCAGCAAAGGATTTTTGTTGTTGTTGTTTGCTTGTTTTTTTTGAGACAGGGTCTTACTCTGTCACCCAGGTTGGAGTGCAGTGGTGCAATCTCGGCTCACTGCAACCTCCGCCTCCCAGGTTCAGGTGAATCTCCTGCCTCAGCCTCCATAGCAGCTGGGATTACAGGCTCCCACCACTGCGCCTGGCTAATTTTTGTATTTTTAGTAGAGACAAGATTTCACCATGTTGGCCAGGCTGGTCTCAGACTCCTGACCTCAGATGATCCACCTGCCTCAGTCTCCGAAAGTGCTGGGATTACAGGTGTGAGCCACCATACCCCACCAGCAGATCTTTTATCAGAAACTTTGGAGCCTAGAAACAGTGGGTTCAAAACATTGAAGAAAAAAAGAAATTTAGCTGTCAACAAAGAATCCTGTATCTGGCAAAACTGTTCTTCAAAAATGAGGGCGAAATTAACACATGCCCAGATAAAAACTGAGAAGAGTTCATTACCTGTAGTCCTACCTTACAAGAAATGCTGAAGAGAATTTTGTAGGGTGGGATGAAAGAAAACTAGACAGTAACTCGATAAAATATCAAAGCAAACATCATAATTAATGGCAAAATATGGAAGGCTTTCCTTTAAGTTGGGAATAAACTGTCATATACTTATCTAGCTGCAGTAATAATTATCCACTTATGACCAATCTTGTTCATCTGTCCACTCACACCCACCTCCTTACATCTTCATTGCAGATTATTTTGAAACAAGTCTCAGATGTTCATATCATTTTGTCTATGTATATCACTGTATATTTGAAAGATAATTTTTTTAAAAATCACTGATTATCATACTTAAAATAATAATTCTTTGATATAGTTCAAATTTTGCTGGCTATTTCTTAAATTTTGTCTATGTTTCTTCAGTTTGTTTATTGGAATAAAATTTCAAATAAGATCTGTTCATGGCAGTTGGTGAAGTTGTTTAACCTATGGCTTCTCTCCCCACATCTCTCTCTTTTATGCCCCCTTGCCCCCAAACCCCACCTCCCATTTATTTGTGATAGAAACTAGGTCATTTCTTCTACAGAGATTTTCCCAGACTGTATTTTCTGATTACCTTCTGATGGTGTTATTTATATGGACATGTGTCTCCTTATTTTCTATAAACTGATAGGTAGATCTGTAAGTCATTTAAATATGAAATTTTCATCAAAGTTAAACGGTCATAAATTAATTAATAGCTTTTTGGCTACATTGAGCCAATGCAGAACTTGTTAAAACCCTCTGGCATTCAAAGTATACAGCAGCATGTTCAGTGACTGAGTCTGGTTTTTATTTTTATTTTTATTTATTTTTGTTTTTGCACTAGAGTCTCTTTCTGTCACCTAGACTGGAGTGCAGTGGCACGATCTCGGCCCACTGCAACTTCTGCCTCCCAGGATCAAGCAATTTTTCTGCCTCAGCCTCCCAGGTGGCTGGGATTACAGTCATGTGCCACTATGCCTGGCTAATCTTTATAATTTTAGTAGAGATGGGGTTTCGGTTTGTTGGCCAGGCTGGTCTTGAACTCCAAAAGTGCTGGGATTATAGGCATAAGCCACCACGCCCAGCCTATTATTTTTATTTTCAAAAATCCCAGAAACAGGTCAGTCTTGGTAGCTTACACCTGTAACCCCAGCACTTTGGGAGGCCGAGGCAGGTGGATCACCTGAGGTCAGGAGTTTGGGACCAGCCCCTGCCCAACATGTTGAAAGCCCATCTCTACTAAAAATATAAAAATTGGCTGGGCTTAGTGGCACACGCCTGTAATCCAGCTCCTCGTGAGGTGGAGGCAGGAGAATTACTTGAACCCAGGAGGCGGAGGTTGCAGTGAGCCAAGATCACGTGACTGCACTCCAGCCTGGGCAACAAGAGCAAAACTCTGTCTAAAATTTTTTTAAATTCCAGAAACAGCCAAAGTGATTCAAGTTTTTAATGATGTTCATATATTTTCAACAGAATTCAACTTTTCATGATTTTCCGTTTTACGTGTCTTGTCTCCTTTGTCATTTTTTTTTAAAGTATTATAATGTAGTAATTATCAATTTCTAAATTTATTTGCACAGGGAAATGAATAAGCGTCTAACAGAAGAACAAGCCAGAAAAACGTTTGAGAGAGCCATGAAACTGGAACAGGAGTTTACTGAACATTTCACAGGTTGGAACAATGTTGTAACAGTCCTCTTTATTATAGAATTTTGCTTTGAAGCCATGTGAACTGATCCATTCAAGTGGATTTTGAACTATGCCTACATCTACCAGTAGTAACTAGTACTGTCATTTTCAGAATAAACCCTTAAGGTCAGTGGTTTTGTCCTGTGGGAAATTCATCTAGCCTAGGCAGTGGTACTGGGGAATCCAGATTTAATGTGTTTTAGGTTATTGATTAGAACAGCAAAAAGGAATTTTCACACTTGACCAAAGAAAAATAGATTTAGATATCATTTATTCTATGAAACTCTGATTTTTCTCTTATGCTTTATAAATTTTGATCCGTTTTCTCTAGCCATGTTGAGGTATTATTGGCAAAATTTGTACATATTAAAGGTGTATAATGTGATTTGATAAACATATACATTGTAAATTGATTAACACAATCAAATTAACATGTCTTTCACACAGTTACCATTTTGTGTGTGTAAGGAAGATGCTTAAGATGTACTCTTTATTAACTGCAGTCACTATGCTGTGTGTTAGATCTCCAGAACTTACTCGTAACTGAAAGTCTGTACCCTTTCCCAACATCTCCCCTACTCTGTAGTCTGCAGTAGGGGAGATGCTGGTGAAAGGGTACGTCACCATCCTACTCTCTGTTCTATAAGGTCTACTTCTGGCCAGGCGCGGTGGCTCAAGCCTGTAATCCCAGCACTTTGGGAGGCCGAGGCGGGTGGATCACGAGGTCAAGAGATCGAGACCATCCTGGTCAACATGGTGAAACCCCGTCTCTACTAAAAC